ATATATATATATATAAATTCTGAAACAAAAAAAAATTCAGACCTGTAGTGTTATTTCCACATCCTAAATTACACATTCAATAGCATTCTGTGATGGAAATTATATTTTAAATATTTTTTGGAATAAAATAGCCTACTTTGTCTCTTGTGAAAAATCTTTATTTGGGACAAAATTGTTTGTTATGGTGGACAGTACAACTTTGACACAGCAATAAATCATTTTCATAAAATAAATATTGAAATGGTTAATATTGATTTTATTTGAAAAGTAGCAAAAAAAAAAAAAAGGCATGATAAAAAAAAACGTCAAGACAATTCATGAAAATTCAGCTTTGTCATCACAGAGATAAATTAATCACTTTAATGAATCATTTTAAAATATAAAAATATAAACGTTATTTTAAAATGTAGTGATATTTGACATTGTTACGGTTTTACTGTATTTTTGATCAAACAAATGCAGTCTTGGTGAGCAAAAGAGACTTTTTTCAAAAACTTTAAAAAATCTGACTGACCCTAACACTGACCTGACACTTTCTAACAGTTGTGCATTTTGGAAAGAAAACTGTTAATTTTCATAAGAATCAATCCCTGGGACATAAAAATACTTGTAGCTGAGGAAACATTATGCATATGTGCTGTATGTAAACGGTACATAATCATCTTTGATGTTGTTTTGCTCCCCCAGTCCTCTAATGAATATATGACACTGGACACTGAGAACGTTACAGTCTCTGCTGGAGGAAGAAACGCTACAGCTTATCTCCAGAAGGAAACAAGGCACACGGTTTTGATAAATGCTGATGGAATGCTACAGACTGTGAGTGCTGCATTAATTTTTTTAAATCTTGATATTTAATTCAATATCTTAAATAAATGTGCTGATTATTTTGGTAACATTAATGTCATGAGGATACATAACTGTAACGTTGAGTGTGTTCTGATTAATTGTTTCATTTACAGCTCAATGACATAACTGAGAAACCCAATCAAGGCATGAATGCGATCAGGTTAGTGCATTTCTGATTTTTTTTTTTTATATTCTTTTCAAATTGAATTGCAAGAGATGTTTTGAAAATGGAATGCCTATTCAAATTCATTAACAGCAAATATATGTTGTAGGTTTGTGAATGGCTTTAGATCTAATCTGAATTTCACAATAAAGTCTGATAATCTGGGTCCCATCGCTCCCTTACAAGCATCAGGCTACCTCAATGTTACTCACGGCAAGTATGTGTTTTGTTTTGTTACAAATATATAGTTATACATATACATGAAAGCTGTCGTACAGTTGTTTGTACAGATGAAAATACAGTGCAAACCCTTTGCTAGGCTGCTTTTCTACACTGATCTGATTTGATATCTCCCTTCCCAGAGCCAATTTTACTATTGTGAACGGAGAAGGACAGACGTGCCACTATATCCTGCAGCTGGGCTTCGGAAGCTCCTACACAGTCCTGATCCCAAGCACCTTTACTTTTGGAGAATCTGTAAGTCTTGTTTTTACAGTCACAGATAATACTATGAACACTATTAGGAATAGTTAGACCTAGAAATAGATCATCCTATATGCTCATTTACTTGCCCCCATGTTTTTCCAAACCTGTATGCATTTTATTCCATCTGCAGAACTCAAAAGAATATATTTAAGTGTCTCAACTATTTTGAGCCATTGAATGGAAGTCATCTGTGTCCAGAACAACACTGGATACCACTGACTTTCATTGTTTTTTTTTTTCAAAATATCATCACTTGTGTTCCACAGAAGACAGTATGTTAAACAGGTTTGAATTGATATGAGGTTGAGTATATGGAAAGAATTTTAATTTTGGGTGAAGTATCCATTTAAACCAGTAGTTGTCATGCAGGGGCCCACTAGGGGGCCTCAGCAAACTTATGAGATGGCATCAGGATGACTTAAATGAGTGTTATTATTAATAAAATTGATATTAATATTAATAAAATATTTCAACTTAATTTAAACATGCAAGATGTAAACTAAAGTCAAATTGAATTTTTTGCTTTTTACATTTTTGGACTCACAAAATGAATTGTGGATATATATATCCTGGAGTCTTGGATCTTTTGGGATCACAAAATGAGTTGTGTTTAAATAATTTCATATAGCTAGTTTGTTGCCTTTCTCAAAAGTTGAAATCACAAATAATTCCATCTGAATGTGTGTGCAGTGTACCGAGAACATTAAACCAATACAGGACATTGAACCGAACGGCACCCACATGGCCTGGCAGGTTATTCAGTACTTTTTGATGACCTGCGGAGAAGTGGTCTTCTCTGTCACTGGCCTGGACTTCTCCTATTCACAGGTATGGCATGCTCTCTGGAACGCGACATTCAGAAAAATTCTAATTAAAGGGATAGTTCACCCAAAAATGAAAATTTGATGTTTATCTGCTTACCCCCAGGGTATCCAAGATGTAGGTGACTTTGTTTCTTCAGTAGAACACAAACAAAGATTTTTTTACTCAAACGGTTGCAGTCTGTCAGTCATATAATGGAAGTGAATGAGAATCACGGCTTTGAGAGTCAAAAAACATACACAAACAAAACCAAATTAAACCCTGCAGCTCGTGAAGATACATTGATGTGTAAAGACACGAAACGATTGGTCTGTGCAAGAAACTGAACAGTATTTATATCGTTTTTTTTTATCGCAGACTTATGTGCATTACTGCCACCTATCTCTCAAATGGACCATTGACACTCCTAATTGAGATTGTTGATAGAGTGTCAATGGTCCATTTGAGAGATAGATCTGACTTATAAGTCTGCGATCTGCCGTAAAGCAAGCAAGAAGAAGACGCGTCACACACAGCTGTTGAGAACGTGCTCAGGAGTATGCGCCGCCGCTCAGGACAGTTCGGACATTGCGGTGAATCAGAGCTAAAAAAAAACTATATAAATACTGTTCAATCTGGGTTTAGGACGGGGCACAGTACTGAGACCGCCTTGGTTCACGTTATGAACGACCTTCTGGTCTCAGCTGACTCTGGTGCCTCTACCATTTTGGTTTTATTAGACCTGAGTGCAGCATTTGACACAGTATGTCACTCTATATTACTTGATAGATTAAAGAGTTGGCTTGGTATCTCTGGCACTGTGCTTGAATGGTTCAGATCCTACCTTACAAATAGATCACAGTTTGTTGCTCTGGGAAATAACAAATCAGATATTGGTCAGGTCCAATATGGTGTCCCTCAGGGTTCTGTTTTGGGGCCCATATTATTTAGCATTTATATGCTTCCTCTGGGGCAAATCATTAGAAAATACGGTCTTGAGTATCACTTTTGTGCTGATGATACCCAAATATACATCAGTTCAAAGTCCGATGTTACAGTTTGTTCTGCAATCCTTTCTGAATGTTTGCAGGACATAAAAGTATGGATGCTTCACAACTTTCTAAGATTAAATAGCTCTAAGACTGAGGCTCTTCTTATTGGTACACCAGTAGCCAT